GGAGGTCCCTCAGCGACCGCTGACGTCCACTTCTCTCTTTCTGCTTTTGGGTTTACTGGCAGGCCGCAAAACAACTTCACGGGTTATACTGCCACCAGGGCCGCCTTAATGCACGGCTGACTTGGGCCTGAAGGCCCAGGGGCCTACGGAGATCGGGCTCTTCATGACCCAATTTAAAAAAAAAATTAAAAAAAAAATTCAATTTTTTATTTTTATTTCGGTGTTTTTAAAAAAAAAGTTTTAAATAAACAACGTCGTTGGCTTTTCAGAAATATGAAACTTTCATTTCCAAAATCCACACGATAAATACATTTTTGGAAGCTTGTATAAGGGAAGACAACCAGCTCTCCTCGCCACCTCTGCTGTTCCCACGCGCCGCCCCCCCTCCCTCCACTGAAATTATTAATGTAAGACGTAGAGTAATCATAGATAACACAAGCAAGGTCCGTTTACAGTTTGTCTGCATCTGATTTAAAAAAACAAAAGCTTGGCTTTCAGGAAATATTAAACCTGTTTTCGGCAAATTCAGGATGATAAATACACTTGGTTTGTAACGGCAAATTACAAGCGGGAACGGAGTAACTTGACGTCACAGCAGGCATAACAACAGCCGGTGTTTTCCCCGGGAAACAAACACAATACCCACAAACGCAAAATATACCACAAACACACACACGTCAGAATTGAGAATATGTTTCACATGTGACTGTATTCAAATTGCGAGTGATTGAGGTGAAGAAAAAAGGTTTGAGAGTGGCGCTCGGAAAGGGAAATTGTTGAGGGGAAAAGGAGTTTCGAAACAAGCAGCGTTTACAAAAAATGCCGAAGCTTACAGGTTATTTTAAACCTGTAGGCCAGGATGAGGAGGAAGGACAGATGAAGTTCTTGTACCGAGCGGTAGCGGTGCCGGCCGCGCGGCCTCGGAGACAAGTAGGCCGTCTGGTTCTGATAGCCGTGGAGTAGCGGAGAGAGAAAAAACAGACAGAGGGACATTATCTGTTGGAGGAGATGGAGAGGACGGACGAGGACTTGCTACGGTTGAGGGAGCCAACGGCAACCGGACAAATACATGAGGGAGGCCCGATACGTCACTTCATATGGAGGAGAGGACCAGGCGCGTGTAGGAGCAGAGTGGAGAAGTGCGATCACAGAGCCTGCCGAGGCTATAAATGACTTTGATTTGATGTTTAAATAGGGGCCTACAAAAACTATCACCCCCCAGGGCCTGATGGCAGGTTAAGGCGGCTTGGACTGCCACCCGAAGTCCCTGGCCGAGTCCCCGGAGTTGGGGACCTTCCGAGTAAATCGCCAGAAGCGCCGACACCTCCTTATCACCTCCACTGCTCCCATGTTTTCTTTTGTGTTGCCTTAAGTTAGTCCTCTCTCCGTTTGATGCGCTGGCTTAATGCTAGTGCTAATGCGAGCAAATAAAAATGGCGGCTTCACAAACACTTTTCGGAGTTTATGGGGCGTGGTTTGCAATTCGCCGATGTGAAAGCGCGAGTAGTCGGGAACTTTCCCCCTTTTTCAGTCCCTGCTAGAGAGGTGGTACTTTCCCTGGGGAGGAAAAGGTTCCAATTTTCTGATTGGGCTGGCGGATTGCAAACCATAGCCCGTTAAAACTCTGAAAAGTTTTGTGAAGCCGCCATTTTATTTACTCGCATTCGCATTAATAGCATTAGCCCAAGGCACCAACGGAGAGAGACTAACTTATGGCAACACAAAAGAAAACATGGGAGTGGTGGAGTGATGAGGAGGTGTCGGCGCTTCTGGCGATATACTCGGAAGGCTTCAGTAGAAGCTGCTGGGAAGACTACCAGTAGCCGGGGACTTCGGGTGACAGTATACGCCGTGAAGTTGTTTGCGGCCTGCCAGTAAACCCAAAGCAGAAGAAGAAGAAGTGACGTCAGCGGCTTCATTTGCGTAATCCTCCCTCGGGGACTTATTCCGGTGTGAACGCGATCTACTGGATAGTTCCGGAACTGAAGATTTCTGGGGAACTAAGTTCCGGGAACTATTCCTGGGAAAAGTACTTGGTGTGAAAGCGCCTATTAGTGTTTTGGGCAGTAGCGCATTTGCCCCTGTCAGCCACCGTACGAGAATAGATTTTGTATTGAACTAAAAGTAGCAATACCAAAATGTAGAAATAATCTGTAACAATAAAAAAAAGTCCTGCATTAAAAAATAAAGCCCATAATGATTTACATTTAAAAGTGTTTGAAGTATCAAATATAAAAGTTCTCATTGCGAATTATAAAATTAGATTATTAAAATTATAATTATTGATGCGTTAATGGATTAATCCCTCTAATGTTGCAGCTGGTAAAGCCCGAGCTGACTTTAATTACTTTATATACCGAAGGGTAGCTTGTGAATTTTCAACCAGGGATCAAAAACGTGTATAATGTTTGGGCTAGGGTTATCATAATTATTTTGTTGGTCATATTTTTTACAATTAATGTGAATCTACAAAGCAGTTTAAGTTATGAATGTGGTGCAAAAAAAGTACATAACTTTCGACAGGAAATGGAAATACTCGAGTAAACAGTAAATAACACATTTATCTTCATCCCTATGTACTGTATCTGTTTTGATTAAATGACATCGTTTTCCGTGTAAGTGCAGCACATTTCCAAATATTTTGTGTTCCACTTCACTTAGGAACACAAAACACTACAGATGCATTACTTCACCTAAAATCTCTATCTCTGTTTTTGTTCCATAAAGCTGTGACAAGTTCTCCGTGAACAGCTCGTCACAGACTGCATTCGATATCGCCAAGTTCTGGGGCCACAGACACATCTCCAACCTGCTGGGCCATACTGATGACAGGTGCCAGCGGGTGCTGCCGGGGGCTGACCTCCACCAGCAGGAGAACTACTTCAGCAGAGAGACGCTGGACCGGCTCAGTGCCAAGAGGACCGACAAGGGATGGCTGGAGGATAAACAGAGCGACCCAAACACAGTCTACCTCCTGTTCTCCAACTGCAGCCCCATGGTCAGCAGCCCACTGGAGGACCACAATGCAGGGGTATGTTACTGTACCTGAGGCAAATGTTGGTAATCTGTTTTAGTTGAAGCTGATGAACCATCAGGTTTGAAAAAAATTGCTCTGGTGATCTGTTAAGCTTTTACCGTGTTTCATGTGAATGCAGATTTAGCTGGTACGCATCTGAAAACAATCATGGTTTGTTGTTAAGTATCCCAAGTACAAATCACACAAAGGCTTATTAAAGGGGCCCTATTATGCTCATTTTCAGGTTCATATTTGTATTTAGTGCCTCTACTATGACATGTCTCCATGCTTTAATGTTCAAAAAGTCATTTTTATGAATACAGAAGCTATCTTTATTAGGTAATAAGAAGTAGATTAGGCCTTAAAGCATTAAGGAAAACGTTCCTTTAGTTTAACATAGAAGTAGAGGATGCCTCTACAAGAAGCTATTTCCAGTCTACATGGTTTATTTGTGTTTGCCCTATATAGTGAAACAACTTTGCAGTTTTCTAAAATGGAGTAGATTCAGATGGATTTAGTATGAGTTCTTATGGTCAAACTTAGGTTTTTGGACCGCTCAGAAAATGGATTGCCCAGTAAAATACCATAGCATCTCTGTAAAGAAGTAGCCTTGTATTTGTGGTTGATAAGGAAATTAATTTATTGACAAAAGACCGACATTTCAATCAAGATGCGTACATGTAAAATAATGTCAGGATCCAATATTTCAGACGCCTTGAAGAAGTCCAGCCCGGATGACTCCTTAATTCATCCTGATTGTTCTCTTCTCAATGTACACATTCCTCGCTTTCCTGTCATTTCAGTGGTGTTATGTTTGTTGCATGCAGTCAATAGCTACTGTAGATGACGTGACAGTTTTAGTCTGTTTGTCTTTTTCAAAGATTCAAAAAAATGTTCTAATGATTGTGATTCCAACAGGGTGAGAACCAGCTGTGTCGGTTCAGATATGAGACAGTTAAAGATCTTCTCCAGAAACATGCCACTGTGCTCATCTTCCTGGGGGTGGAGAGGAGGAAGAAGCCCTCCTCTCAGACAGTGGATGGTGTCCGGGAGCCTCCTGCTTGGTTTGCCATCAACACTGACGAAGACACTGCTGAACTTCTAAAACGCTGCAGAGAAAAGAACTGCTGCTTCCCAAAGACGCTCAACAGAGACCTGCTGAAGTTCAGCGAGGAAGAGGCAGGTGAGGAAGATGTCTCTTTTTCTTTACCAAAGATATCTTCTGAACCATAAAAGCTATATACAAATTCAGGCTTACATTCAATTAAAATATCTAATGGCAAACTTACACATGATTTCCACTAACGATTAGTTGCAAAAAAATCACGTGGTTTTTATCCGTTTTTAAATGTACCTTTAAATGGGAATTTAATTTAAGGTAATCGGCCTGCAAGCTTTAGCCACAAATTGTAGTGCATTTACTCATGGACTGTACTTCTATCTCAGGGCACTTGTACTTTATCTGACTATGTTCATTATATGCTATTTTATAGCTTTGAGGTAAAGTAGCTTCAAGTTCCATCTGTCCTGAAACCGGTTATCAGCTCTCCTTATTTTAGCTACAGTCACCTTGTGACAAGAGAAATTGCATTTTTAACATGTATTACATATGTAGTCTGTTTGACAGCGCTGACGGGCCATAAATAATACATTATAAAACTGAATCTGTGGACCATATCAAAACTGACCAAAGGCCTAGATTGGCCCCCCAGACTTACCATGACTGAACTAATTGAATAACCCCTGTCCCCTCTCTTGTTCGTGCAGGAGTTGTGGCTCAAGCTCGATCGGTGTTGGCCTGGCACAGCCGCTACAGCTTCTGTCCGACATGTGGCAGCAGCACCCGGTCGAAGGAGGGAGGATACAAGAGGAGCTGCCTGAACTCAGACTGCAGGAGCCTCAAGGGGGTTCATAACACCTGCTACCCACGCGTCGGTACGGAGCTCCAAACCTAATCAGCTTTAATGAATGCTTTAAACTGAGTGTAGGCTGCAGATTATGTTGTGTAGGGCACACATCTAGATTCCATCGACACATGCATTTAGGCTGATGTACAGGAGGGAGCATGTACAATGTGCAGGTCATGTGTGGTTGAAAACACTTTCACCTATAAATGCAGGATTTTTCATATTTTATGATTTTTTTTTTGTAAGTGGTTAAAAATCAAGCTTTTCTGCTCTAGGATGTTGTGACTGTAGTCAGGGAACTAATATCACAGATCTGAGTGCAGTTTGAACCTGAACGAAGCCAAAACGTTAAGTCAATTAATCCAGTATTTAATTTCAATGATCAGATTATTAATATAAGCAAACATGACAAAAATAGCTTCTTAAATAATTATATTTGCTCGATTTCTTGGACTTCATGAAAGTAAAGTGAACACTTTGGGTTAAAAAATGGGACAAAATATTTAAACTCTCTGAGAACTTGTAAGGGGATATTTCACTATTTTCCTACATTCCATTAGTAGATTATCTGAGTTAGTTGAACACCTAAACCTGAGTACAATTATCTTACCTGAAAATCAACATTAACATCACAAGAAATGTGCCCTAACACCTGCTTACATACTTTATGATTAGCGATGACTGAAACTCGTAAAGGTATATAGTCTACTGTAGTTAGTGTTTGGCAAGTTCATATGTAAATGTAATCTGTTAAATATAACTTTAATTGGAGATTGTAAATTACAATCAATATTATTGTCTGTAGAGTGATGCATTTCTGATAATACTACTTTTGCATTACTCAAACAAAAAAAATGACTTGGCATTATAAATAGAAAGAGTCTCATGTTTGATAGTGACTAATCAAAGTACAGATTCTCAAGTTTCATAGCAAATCCAGTGTGCACAATAGATAAGTCAAATGATGGGCACACTTTTTCTTTAATGCATTTGGTAGCTTGCAAAGTAGCTTTCACAAGATTGCTGAATAGATTATTAGATGTAAATTGTGCTCCTCTTTACTGTGTGTGTTTTCAGACCCAGTGGTCATCATGCTGGTGATCCACCCTGATGGAAACCAGTGTTTACTGGGAAGAAAGACGATTTTCCCTGTGGGCATGTTCTCCTGTCTGGCTGGATTCATAGAGCCTGGTAAACATCACATTACATTGACTTACACAAACCTTAACAGTAACATCTACTCCCTAAAAGCTACTAACCAGCGGACGGCCGACCCGTGCAAACATGCTCCAACAACCCAAAACACTGTACGCTGCACTTTCAAACTCATTGTAAATATAGAAAAAACCCAAATGTGCCAAAACACATCGGACTGAAGAAACATCTTCACCAACTTGACAAAACATGCGCAGCATTTAGAATAACATTCAACAACTTGAGAAAAAATATGCAGGGTTTACTAAAAGCACTGCATTGAAAAAAAAACGGAATAATCTCAAAACACAATGGAAACCGGGGTACATTAAAAAGTGATGCACACAGCTGGGACCGCTTGTTGACGCTCAGGGATCATAAAGTTGTCCATCAGTCACTGTTGGCAGTTAGTCTGTTTCATACTTGTAAGTGTTTGTCAGTATATTTTAAATCACTAGGTTAGCTATGTTAGCTAGCTAGCTTACAGCAGATCTGCAATAGTATCAGAAGGAATCCTGTTATCACAAGCGCTCCAGTCCCAGCCGAGTGCATCACTTAGCTAAATTGGTGAATGTTTTTCTAAATACTGTGCATGTTTTGTCTGGTTGGTGAAGCTGTTTCTTGATTCTCATGTCTTTGGGGACATTTGTGCTTTTATATTTGCATGATTTTTTTAACTGCAATGTGTTTCCCGTAATATAAATGTTGTGGGCTGTTGTAGCGCATTTGCACCAGTCGGCCACCGTACAGAAGCTTACATTGACCCCTTCCTGCAGGGGAGACGCTGGAGGAGGCGGTGAGGAGGGAAGTTGAGGAGGAGAGCGGAGTGAAGGTCGGGCCCGTTCAGTACATCTCCTGCCAGCCCTGGCCGATGCCCTCCAGTCTCATGATTGGCTGCCTGTCTGTTGCCATATCGACTGACATCAAAGTGGACGAGAAAGAGATCGAGGAAGCTCGGTGGTTTCCACGGCAACAGGTTCAAACATTACAAATTCTACTACTTTTATAAATACTGCTGATGCTACTACTAATAACAATACTGAGATAATAATAATAATTGTTATGACTCAGACTGTCATTTAGATGGTTCAGCTGTTGTCACTGATAATAATTACATTATTTGTAATAAAAAAAAATGTGTGGCACATATTAGAGAGAACTTTTAAATTGAAATGGATTTGTATTACATTTACAGGACATAATACAAATAAAGATAATATTAATGTTGTATAATAATTTAGAATATTTAATAATAATAATACACACATCACAGTTACAAAAGAATAACGTGAATAAAATGTTTATAGATACAAAATGAATCTTCTTCTGAATCGTCAACACTGCTTGGAAAATATGAAAAAACATTTTTCTTCTTGGACTGTCATGCAGAATGATGTGGTGGAAGTTGAGTATTTATGTGTGAAAGCAGAGTAGAAGTGATGATGGGGAGTCTGAGGAGAGGTTTACAGTTAACAATATTGCTGTTTTCTGTGCAAAAGAATAGAACATATTTTCTTTTTGAAAATACTGCTGTTTGACTATAAATCCATTTGTTCCTGGCTTAGGTGATTGACTCTTTCAGAGGAACCCGTCCAGCCTTCACTGTTCCTCCCAGGCAGACCATTGCCCACCAGCTGGTCCGACACTGGATCGGCATGATTTCTAACCTCTAACCTCCATCCTTTAGCGCTGAAACTCCAGAGCATAAGGTGGATCTATGAACCAGCAGCTGTCAGAACTGTTGCTACTCTATTACGACAAACCAGGAACACTACCGCTGAGGTAACAGCCAGATTCTGAGGGCTGTACAGGACACAGTATGTTAATGTGGTTTGTTTTCACCATTAAGTCCAAATCATTGAAACGCACCGCTCCTATGTGGAGAACTGTAGTCTGTACATCACTTGCAGATAAAGGCGAAGACAGAACTTTTCAAGATGGAAAAGATGATCAACAATAAACCTTTAGATTTCCGATTCTCAGCTTTGAGCTTAGACTCAGGATGTGATGATGGAATGTAACGCAACTGTACAAAGTTAAGGACACTTTTGCAAAACATTTTAATCTATAATTAGACAAAAACAGCGATACTGGGATATAAAACTATTCCGATTAATTTAACAGGGTTAATTGAGCAATCTGTAAAGATTTGTAATTGCATACAAACGTTGCCAATTTATTTTGTATTGGTTTTTCAGTTGAATTATACTTAAAGTTCATGCTGTTCACATTTTTTTTCAATAAATGGATTTTTTCAAAGTAAATGGATAATCGTTTTTAATAATCGTGATATCAATTATTGACCCAAATCATCGAGATTATGATTTTTGCCATAATCGAGCAGCCCTACTTTTGAGACAGTGCTAGCTACTTTTTTATAAAAAAGGCTGAGAATTCTAGAAGTCTCAACTACTTATACAATTTTTTTAAAAGCCCAGATAGCTAACATGCTAGAGCCTCAAATGTACTCAAACCCTTGTCCTTATCGCACAGGACCATTGTGCTTTGCTCTGTAGTTTAAAATTAGGATTGTACTGCCTAATCAACTTTCAAGGTTAGCTTTTGTTTTTGCTGTGTAATGGAAATGACAGCCACTAGGAGGCACCAGCATGTGTTTAACCTTCATCTCTTACTAGTCATCTTTGCCTTTGACTCAGCATGCAGCACTGATGTTGTTTATTCAGTCTTCATCAGCAGTTTTTGAATTTAAGCAACAGTTTTCTGTATAATCAGGCCACACATCCGTTTTCCCCAGAAAGGAAGACTTGACCATGTAATCTGCCTCGCATGTTATCTGATTAACACAGCTGTTTGCCATTAATTCCGGAACATTTAATTTTAGAGCGGCTTCTGTCTGATGGGCTCTCTCAGAAAAGTCGTCTGGTCGGTGCTCTACCCCTGGAAAGCAGACGTTGGCTTCCTTTTTTGGACTCAGTTGAGCAGCATCGGCCTCTCGTCTCTCCTCAGATGTGAAAACTCTGTCACATTTTCGATAGTTCAATCCATAGTCAGCTTCATAGGACTGGAGAGGAATGAGTGGGTGTTCTGTTGTCACTGGAACATCAGGAATATAGTCTGTGTCCACTTCCAGGGCTGACGGTTTAGTGCTGAGTTGGCTGATTGACAGCGGAGAGTTGTTTTCATTTAGGTCCTCTTCATAGGAGGACTTGAAGTTTGGTCCAATCGTGATGAGACCATTCTCACCATGTACACCCATCACCTGGAAGTCCTCAATATGAAGGATGTTTCTCTCTGCAGTTTTCTGTTGAGTGGAACAATTGATTGGATTTTAATCAGGAAAGACATATTATAGTTTTTCCAAAAAGAAAAGTCTTGTATTTCAGTTTTTTTATCTGATTTCTCGAATGATTAAATAATGTTAAATATTTCAATAGGACATCATAAATTGTCAGTGAAGAGTTGTAAATGTAACGAAAATCAAGAGCTTAATAATGTCGGTCAATTTCAAAAAACATAAAATCAACTTTTACAATAAACAAATTACAAGAATAACACTTCGCAAAAATGAAAAATGTTCGAAACAGATGTTAAACATTTGCATTAATCTGTCTTATTTCTATGTTCAGAAAAACATTGAGGGGAAATTAATATATCTTTACTACTTTTAAACTGAATATGAGAAACATAGACAACAGGATTGTTTCTGTGACCTTTTCGTGTTTGGATCTGAATCAAAAAGACATTAACACAGCAGTTTTAATAACTCACATGGTGATTAGGGTCCATCAGCCACTGGCCTGTCGTACTGCCCCGAGGGCTGGGGATGGGCGGAAAGAAATACGACTTGTACCTGCAGAGTAAAGGGGTTAAAGAGGAAGAGAAATATAATCCTAGTTTTGAAATGTAATAAACTACTTTAAAATCTCTCATGATCAGTGGGAAAATGCAATGTAACAAAGCTGAAACTGCCATCATTTCTGAGCTTATGAAAAGTTGACTTTCCTGAGATACAGTGGGGCAAAAAAGTATTTAGTCAGCCACCAATTGTGCAAGTTCTCCCACTTAAAAAGATGAGGCCTGTAATTTTCATCCTAGCCTCAACTATGAGAGACAAAATGAGAAAAAAAAAATCCAGAAAATCACACTCTGATTTTTAAAGAATTTATTTGCAAATTATGGTGGAAAATAAGTATTTGGTCAATAACAAAAGTTCCTCTCAATACTTTGTTATATACCCTTTGTTGGCAATGACAGAGGTCAAACGTTTTCTGTAAGTCTTCACAAGGTTTTCACACACTGTTGCTGGTATTTTGGCCCATTCCTCCATGCAGAACTCCTCTAGAGCAGTGATGTTTTGGGGCTGTCGCTGGGAAACACAGACTTTCAACTCCCTCCAAAGATTTTCTATGGGGTTGAGATCTGGAGACTGGCTAGGCCACTCTAGGACCTTGAAATGCTTCTTACGAAGCCACTCCTTCGTTGCCCGGGCGGTGTGTTTGGGATCATTGTCATACTGAAAGACCCAGCCACGTTTCATCTTCAATGCCCTTGCTGATGGAAGGAGGTTGTCACTGAAAATCTCACGATACATGGCCCCATTCATTCTTTCCTTTACACGGATCAGTCGTCCTGGTCCCTTTGCAGAAAAACAGCCCCAAAGCATGATGTTTCCACCCCCATGTTTCACAGTAGGTATGGTGTTCTTTGGATGCAACTCAGCATTCTTTCTCCTCCAAACA